GACGGACGGGGTGAAATGCGAAGTGAGCCGGACGGGGTGAAAAGCGAAGTGAGCCGGACGGGGTGGAAAGCGAAGTGAGCCGGACAGGGTGAAAAGCGAAGTGAGCCGGACGAGGTGAGTGGCACAGGGTGAAAAGTGACGTAAGCCGAACAGGGTGAGCCACGCAGGACAGGGCGAACCGGATAGAGTGAAAAGCGAAGTGAGCCGCACAGGGTTAAGGGAACGTAAGATGAGCCGGCGACAGGGTGAAAAGCAAAGTGAGCCGGACAGGACATGGTGAGCCGGACAGGCCGTCGACACGAAGGAGCAACAAAGCGGGCCGCCGGGAATCCACTCACGGCAAACTCGGCTGATAACCATCTCAGACGGCCCCACAAAGCGGCTGTTATTAGCCCCGGCACGGCAGTGGCACGCCACGGCACACTGAGAAAAAAAAAAGAAAGCCGAGAAGGGAGCTCGCTGCCATTCAGGGTGGACCGCCCCAACCCCACCCCCACCCCCACTTCTATTCAACGCTAGATCGGCAACCTGCTTGTGTTGCGAACGAGAAAAAAATAGTTTCCGACGCTTACTTTGATACTTGAGTTTTTGTCGACCAGACTTTTAGATTTTGGAGGCCAAGTGAGAAAAACCTTCAGTTTTGACCAACTAGTTGTTAAAGTTTGATTTTTTCTAAAAATAGCATTTAGTTTGGGTGAAATGTTTTTTTTGTTTTTTTTAGTGAACTCAATCTTGTTGTGTGCAAAGTGTGGAATTTCCCAGTTGAGGGCACGCGTAGCATACTACCCTCGCAACGTTGTTGGTAAGGACCCGCGACTCACTGAGGGTACCTAGGACCGCATTAGGGCCGTGCCCTTTATGTCACGCACACACACAAAAAAGAACTCACACACACTCACAGACACACACACACTCACAGACACACACACATATACACACACACACACACTCACACACACACACACACAGCACGCGCAGCAATTCCATTATTTTCACCGCGGTGTCCTGTCCGCGCTGTTGGCAGTGCGTGCTGGTCCTAGTCCGAGGCTCCGGGGAGCGCGGGGAGTGCAGGGAGTCCCGGGCGTAGGCCTGCAGACGACCAAGAAGCAGCAGCCACGTGCCGCGTGGCAGGCCGTGCCCACGTGGCGCGGTCCACTGCCAAAAAGGCGGCCCGAAGTACTTGCCCGCAAAGTGCATGCGCTTCCGCAATCAAAGTTACCGTGCGTGCTTTCGGCAAAGTGGCATTGACATCACTTCAGCAGTTTTCTGGGTTTTCCGTGGACTAAATTCAACTTTCGCGAGCGGAGATACGACCACGGCGCGCACCCCCCATCCACTCCGAAAAAAAATGGACTCCCTCGCGTCGCCAAGCTTCACCGCGGCTCTGCAAATTAATTTTCCCTCCTCCAGTCCTGTACTTCTTTGACTTCTTTTGCCCCGTACCTCTCTGCGTCTCCCGCCAGCGGGATCCGCGAAACTTCCTTCTGCAGGCCTATGAATTCGCGGATTCGCGATTGGAATGCTGCGGCAGTGCCCCCCCCCCTCTCCCCCTCTCCCCTCCCCTCCACGATGAGACGTATAAAAGCAGGCAGTGTGGAGGGCTGGCGTGGCGGTAAGAGAGGTACGCCAGAGGTGCAGAGGTACGCTCTGGGCCCCGGCGGCCGCGCTGCCGGTAACACTCTAGGGAGGGTAGCCAATACTTCTGGCAGCGACCTTCAAAAAGGAGGGCTCAACGGCGAGGGGAACGGCGAGGGCATACCGAACTACGTACCCGCCCAAAAAAGCAGCGTGAGAAACAAAGAGAGCATAACGTGTCGAAAGTGCGCGTGGTGAAGGGGAGAAAAGAGCAAATGCGTCGGCCGAAAACTGCGTTCCTCTGATGGAGATGAGCGCGTCCCCTTGAGCAGCGCGAAAAGTTGTTGCCGGCGAGACGGAGACGGCGACACTAGGGGACGGCCTCACCAGGGGGCGAATAATGCTAAGAGACTAGATAATGACTTTCCCAAGTCCCGATGGGACCCGAGGGGATTGTTTCTGCGTGTTCTGGACAGAGGGACTCCGGACGCCGGCTGGGGCGGCTGGAGAGACTGTGGGCCATTCTCTCGGGCACGGGCCTAGCGGAGGCCTTGGTGTGGCCTCGCCGCGGCCCAGCCACGCGGCAGGACGCAGGTGCATCTTGAATCAAATTAAAGTCGGCGCGCGTCGCGCCTCCGAGACCTGGCCACTCACCGCGACAATGTTCACGTGCGTTACAGTGGGCTACCGCCGCCAGTTACTATAGTTACATTGTAACTATTGCGCCGCATTGTGCTCCTCGCTCGGAGGCTGGCGGCGACAATCACCGGCCGACCCACACCGCCCGCACCGCCACGCCGAGAACAATGTCCCAAAATCCGCCCTCCGCTGGAGCTCTGCCTTGTCACAAGCCGTCATTGATCAAAACGTGTTTTCAGTGTTTTGAACGGTGGCAGTAAAACGGAGTGCTCCGCTACCTGTCGCGGCGGCCGGGCGGGCCGCGGTCCGGGTACCGCCATGGCGCTGCGTCGCTTGGAGCGCCTAACGCGCGGTTCGCTTGACGTGGAGGAGGTTGAGGGCCCCGGGGGAAATCTGCGCAATACAACGCCGCCTCCACTACCACACACGCAGCGGCGCACACACTCACACACACAAAAGACACGAAGGCAGTTATACCGCCACGCAGCGAGCCACTTTATATCTGAATGTCAGTGTCACTAAAGCCGGACGGATCGGAGCAATAGGACGGGTTAATATATTACTTCACGCGTGCGCTCTTGCGCTCTCTCTCTCCCTCTTTCTCTCTCTCCCTCTTTCTCTCTCCTTCTATTGCCATTGCACCCCTTTGCGAGGCTATTCCGCCGTCATGCGCCTAGTGCATCTCGGCCACTTCTTCGGGGTCCCCGGATGTTGGCACTCTCACCGCGGCGCCCCACCACCTGCTGCACGGGGTGCATTACCTGATTACTCGAGTCGCGAGGGCCGAGGACCGAGGGCCTTGGGGCCACTAGTGAGGAGGAGACTGCCCGGGTAGTCGGGCCCCCGGCCGGGAGGGCTGGAGTCCTGCGGCCTGCGGTCGAGCATCGCAGCGCCGTGGCAGGTCCTGCCAGGTCCTGGCAGTCCTGGCAGCGCCCCGAGAGGCCGACGCCTACGACGGGGACGCCAAGGATCCCTGCAGGGCCGGCAGGGGCAGGAGGGTGTCGAAGGAAGCCGAGTTATTTGATTGTGGCGGGTACGCCGTGGCTGTGCGCCGGCGCAAGTTCAACATCATTAGAACCGCCAGACAAACTTGGCAAATCCGGCATCGCGGCATGATTGGCCAGGACGCGCGGCGAGGCTGGCAGGGCTGCTCCAGCAGCGCCAGCAGCGCGCAACTGCATGCTGCACTGCCAAACCGAGGACAACACTCACGTTTCCGCCGCGTCTTGGGGGACGTGCTGAAATGTTGGCACCCGTGCGCGCGTGTTAGAGAAGCGTTTATTACCCCTCGAGGGGCCCCACTGCCCCACTCACAGCCCCCGCGCGCCCCCAGCCCGCCTCCAGCCCGCCTCCAGCCGCCTCCGGCGCGACCCTTTTCCAAGAGGCTCTCGCGATAACTTGGACCCGTGTCAGTGAATCCTTCCATCCGAGCCAACCCGGCGAGGCCGGCCAGGCTGGCGGGGCTGGCGAAGACGACCGGACCGGGCGACGCGAGGGGCGCGGGGAGCGCGGGGCTGTCTAAGCGTTTTGACGGCCGCCCAGGGCACCCTGGGCCCCGCCGCCACGCCGCCACGCCGCCCGGCCGTGGGGTAGGACGGGCCGGACGAGGCTCGACTTGGAGAGGCGTCGCGCCACGCAGCCCCGCGCCACCCCCACCGTCAGTCAAGTTACTTTTGCCCGTCAAAGAGGAGTGTACTTTCCGAGTTCTCCCGCCTCCCCCCACCCCGCCTCAAAGGCGCGTGCCCACGGCGACCCGAAGGTGCGCGACGTCCGCCAGAAATCAGAGGAAGCCTCCCTTAATCCGCAGCGATTGCCCCTCGAGTCGCGCCGCGTTATCGTGATGGCAGTGTGGTGGCCGGCGATAGCGGCGATAGCGCACGTGCGGAGAGAGGGCCTGGCCGCCGTGGGCCGCCGCCTCCGGGACCGTCTTCAAATTGGATTACGAATTAAGACCCCGCCAATTATCGCTCCCCTGTGGCCCTGCCAGCCCCGCCAGCCCCGCCGCGTCAGCGCTGGACAAAAGAACGACGCGATTTGAACGTCCAGAGTTTTCTTCTTTTTCGTTTTTCCGGCCCAACCCGGTGCGGCTCTTCGTCGCCTCATCGTTCCCGCCAGCTTGTTTCCCACTCCCATCAGCACACGAGGCCGCAGGAGGCCGACCCGCCATTTTAATTATTTTCAAAAATCCTGCCAATCAACGCGTCAGAATTATTTTCGCTTTTCATGTTTCCTCGTGGCCCTGGTCGGCCCTGAGTGGCCCGGGGCGGTCGGGGGTGGCATCATCACGGCTCCCTCCTTTCCACGAAAACTACATCAAAAGAGCGACCGAATTTCGGCAGCGGCTCGCCTCTTTGCCACTTTTTTGGCGAGCAGCGCGGGCAGCGCGCCGGACGTGTCGGGCACGAAGCTAATTGGCTAGCTGCAGGCAGAGTCATGAAGGGAGAGTGGAACGGAGTGGAATGCCCACTCGGCCACTGTGCCGCCGGCCTCAGCCGAGAGTCGTTTTCGTCGCTCTGTCTCTCTCGCACTCACGGGGCGTTCTGATGCGAGAGAGGCACAGCGACGAAAACGACTCGCGGAATCAGTCTGCAGGACATACGCGGCCGAACTCCACACCCAGTGGCGCCATCAGTCATTCCATTTGGTCATTGCGTTTGGTTCTCCTTGGCAGATGAGCGCGCCTGAGGCGTCCACCGCACCGGACCCCAGCCTCGCCGCCCTCGCCGCCCCCCTCCTGCCCCGCCGCCCCCGTGGAGGCGGCCCCGGGCGGAGGGGCCCCGCGGGGGGTGCTCATGAGCCCCGAGGGCTACATCGTCTCCTCCGTCATCCTGGCCGTGATCGGCGTGGTGGGCTGCCTCTGCAACGGCGTCGTGCTGCTCATCTACTTCAAGGACAAGCAAGTGAGTGCGAGAGGGCGGCGGCAGCGGGACACTGGGGAAAAAAATCATTCGGCTCCACCTGAATGTCTTACGAAGGAATTTCCTAGGCTATGGCACAATCCCTTACGAACGTAGCCGTTCTCCGTATTTCGGAGGTTTTTCTGTGAACTTTACAATGCGAATGCAAAAGAGATTCGTATTTTGAAGAAATTGTTTCATCTTATGCTAAGCTAGCGCCTTATTTACTGTAACATTGGCTACAATTCCATCGTAAGACATTCAGAGTGTAGAGTTCGAAAGTCTTGCTATTTCACTTTGCTGTAGGTGTATAGTAATGATAATAATTTAGTTTGTTGTTTTTATTTTTACAACGATACGCGACGAAAAAGTTAAGGCACATTTTTAGCAAACCGCGTGTACGATGTAAAGTGTTTCCCCTCAGAGGATGACGAGAGCGACGGCGAGTGGACACGGGGAGCACGCTGTGCACGGGCATCCATATTCAATGGATTTGCCCTCCGCCCTCCACCGTAAAAGAGGGGGGGGGGCTCTTTTGAACTCGACCGCCGCGTCCCTGTAGGGCGTGCAGCACACCGGGGCTAATGCACGGCTCAAAAAGTTGCCTTAAATTGAATCAAGTTGTTTGGTTTCAGTTCATTTTTAGACTCCAAAGTGACACGGCACGAACTGGGTCGATTTAACAGGACTTTTAAAAAACAACGGCTGAACTTCAGACAATATTTCAGTGCTGATTGCCTTCGTTTCACCTTTTCTTCTTTCTTTTCGACACCTCCTCGGAACAAACGGCTATCTCCAAAGTGAGTGCAGACAAACGGCTATCTGTGAAAGTGCTGCAGACAAACGGCTATCTTTTTGACCCCCTGCAGACAAACGGCTAACTGTTTTCTCCACTTCCCGAGTTTGGATACTTATATATTTACAATCAATTGAGCCTGTCAAATTTGACCTTATCCAACAGATGTCAAAAGTTTGTCAGAGCAGATTGACACATAACATGAGTCTGTCACGTGCGTCTAACCTGAGAAAAACTCAAGGAACCCGGCCAACCCTAACCTCTCCCGAAAAGTCAGTTAGCCGTTTGTCTGCAGGGGGTCAAAAAGATAGCCGTTTGTCTGCAGCTCCTTCACAGATAGCCGTTTGTCTGCACTCCCTTTGGAGATAGCCGCTTGTTCCGACGAGGTGTCGTTTTTTTTTTTGGGGGGGGGATGCGAATGCGCTGCGCACTGCTTCCACGCTGTGCCGCGCCGCATTCCGGAACGTTTTGGCGAGACCCACACACACACTGTAGTACTGTAGTCGCATCGAGCGTGACGGTGCACCTCTCGGCCCGGGGCGCCCTGGGGCCGGCGGCGCGGAGGGACGGGCCCGAGATCCCGAACTAAAAGAAGTAGGTGGGTGGGGCGGTGGGTCTGCACGCGTGGCGGGTTGGCCAGGCAGAGGACGGGAGGTACAGGACTGCGCAAGCCGCGAGGCCGCGGGGCTGCGGGGGCATCAAAGCCTGCTTACGCCAAGAGGATCAACTACTGGCTGAAAAGCCCCCGCAGTATTCCTCCGCGTTCGACTCGAGATCTCGACCCGAGCTCGAAGCCGACTCCACTCATACTGATTCATCCGTGGCCGCCATACACGCTGTGGGGGTTGAAGGCCACCACGTGGTCGGGCCAGGGGCGCAACAGCACTGCGGTCAGGCTGCGGACGTTTGGAGTCAATCACTCGTACTATCGGCAGGGCACCGCTCCAGAGTTTGTAATTGTTTTCGATTTGTTTAGATCAAAAAAACAGTAGTCTGGTCTAGTTTGAGGGACGGGGATTTAAACCAGTGCCACGAACGATAGCACTCTTGCGATGAAAGCGAGGGAAAGGCGCTTTGCGGGGCTCGCGTGAGTGCCTCTGTGTGTATATGTGTGTGTGTGAGCGTGAGTTGGTGTGCCTGTGTGAGTGCGTGGGTGTAGCGGAAAAGAGACGCGTCTGAAGCCTGTCCCTGGCAGACAAGCAGCGCGAGCAGGGCAAGCAGGCTGCCGCGCCGTAAGCTTATTGCAGCCTCGGCAGGCACCCGCCAGTGACGTGGCGGTGGCGTGGCGGCGCCCTGCCAGCGACCCTACTCGTCAACAAGCAGTGCGTGGGGCTGTCCGGACTGGCTGCCATCAATTATTGGCCGCAGTTTTGCCGGTTTGACGGGAAGCATCGGGAGCACACGCGAGGGCGGCGGGGAAGCCTGCCTCTGCCTGCCTCGGCCCGCCGCCCGCCAGTCTGGCGGCGTTCATGTCCATGTGCGGCACTGCGGTGTGGCCACTGTAACTCTGTAACGGCTGCCACCCCGGAGGGCCCTGCCGCGGCCCTGCCGCCCTCCGGGACTCGGCGCCGGCCCCGGCCCGTTACGCCACCGCCACGCACTACTTGACGTGGCGGAGGGCCGGGGGGCGGAAGGGCCAGCCATGTCACCCGATACCTGTCAGTGAATCAGGGCAGGTCGTCCGCCCCCCGCCTGGCCCCGCCCCTGGCTTGGCCCCTCACGTCAAAGGTCGGGACGGGGCCACGGCATGACGGGCTGCCAGTTGTTTTGCCCGTCAGCCCCCGCGGCTTTGCGCTGTGCGCAGGGCAAGGTGCCACCCGTCGGTGAAGTGCTTTCGTCCGTGCTTTTCGACCGAATAACCCTTCGACAAGGCCAGCCTGCATCGCACTGACGCCGAGCCGCACTGTTGCAGCTGTGGACTCCGCTCAACCTGCTCTTGCTCAACCTGGTCATCGGCGACTTCTCCGTGTCCATCCTGGGGACTCCGATCACCTTCTCCGCGTCCCTGGCGCGCCGCTGGTTCTTCGGGGACACCATGTGCTCGGCGTACGGATTCTTCATGGCCCTGCTGGGTGAGTCCACTGAGCCGCCGCTCGGCCGCCGCTCGAAATCCGGAAATCGCGTCGCGAGCCCCTCCCCCCTCCCCCGCCGCTCCCTGGGGAACGCGCATGTTGTGTCGCGCTGGCGCACGCTGGCGGCGCTCCCGGGGGAGCCGGCCTTTTGTGGGGGAATCCGCGCGGCGGAAGGGACGCGGGGCCACCCTAGAGTGCCGCAACTGGACGCCGCGCCGCGCGGGTTCCCGGCCGTGCGGCCACTTGGGCGAGTCTGGCCGCGGAGCTTGCCGCGCGTCTCGCGAGATAAGGTTGCCCCCCGTCCGAGGCCCTCCCCGGCGGGGCCCGCCCCCTGCGAGGTCGCGTGCGGCGCGGCGATCGCCGCGATGGATGGCTTTCCGTACGCAGGCCGGCCAGAGAGGCCCAGGGAGGCCCAGACCACCGTAAGTGCCACGGCCGAGGCCTAGAGTTGCCGCCCGGCCGAGCGGCCTCCACTTAGCCTGCCGTTCGTTACACGGTCACTCCGTGCGCTCCGTGCCGGCCGCTCGTAAGTCTCGGGACGAGCCAACAGCCCTGCCGTGCCCTGCCGTGCCCTGCGAGGACCGATTATGAACAAAAGAAGTTTCCGTCTTCCAACGCCACCGGCCAGACGCCCGCGTATTGTTTTCGGTACCATTGGGGCGGGGAGGGGCGGGGCGGAGGGGAGGGGAAGGCAGCGCTGCATTTCGCTTGGCCGGCCATTTTGTTGCGACGCCGCGGCGCTCCTCGCGAACCTGGATGGGATTGTCATCGCACAGCGCCAGCAGCACCAGCAGCGCGCAGCCGGACGGCCGGACGTCAGCGGCAGCCTCTCAGTGCTGCGCGCCAAACGAAACAATGTTCGGCAGGCGGGCGGATTGAAAGCTGCTGGAAGCCGGCTTTTTGTTGTTGTTTCATTTCGCTGCTTCTCGTTCTTCTTTTTTTCATGGACGAAGGCGTTTTATTTTGCGGAGTTCTCAATGACAGCGCGTGGCAAGTGCCCGATCCGGGGCGGGGATCCGTCCGCCCGCACGTCCATTGTTCGAAAAGGGCGCTCTCCGCGTTCGGCCGTTCGGGTTCGGCCGTTCGGATTCGGCCGTTCGGGTTCGGCCGTTCGGATTCGGCCGTTCGGGTTCGGACGCACTCATTGCTCGTGAGTGCCTGTCCTCCTGGTATTCGCAGGCCCGGTCTGGTCGGTGCGCCAGAGCGGGTTCGAGGAGTGTCTGCAGCCGGCCGGGGCCCATGGAGGGCGGAGGGCGGGGTGGTCGGGCTGCCAAGTTACTTTTTCCGTGGCCGCGCAGTGCGCGCCGCGCGCCGCGCGCAGCAATCAGCTTTTCATTTCGACTTCCGGAGCAGCGAGGAGCGAGGCGCAGACGCCACGCCCGGCCACGCCGCCGCGGCTATGGCTTTCACAGGCAGATTGTTGGGTCGACCCGTCCGGCCGCGCCAGGTGCTCTTTGCTCCTGCACACCGCGCCCTGGGTGTTCTTCTGCCGGCCAGGGCCCCCGGGTCAGTGGCCACCAAATGGTGGTGTAGCAGCCGTGGTGGGCCTGGCATGGCACCATGGGCAGCCATGGAGGATCGGGGCCCTTCAAAAATACGCCAGAGCACCCCGAAGGAACTCGGCACTGGAAGGGTAGGGCTGATGGCAGCGGCGGCTCGGCCAAGCGTGCGGTGCGCGCAGCTCAGCGCGGTGCGTGGCGCTGCATGGGTTGGTGGTGGCTGCCTGGCAGTCAGTGCACTCGAAATCGTGCGCGAGGCGTTGGCTTCATGACCGCGAAGAAAAGGAAGGCATTTATTTTTAGACTTTCTGAACATGAGGAAATATTTCACGCACTGAACTAGCTGCTGTGGTGCTCCGCAGGCATCACCTCCATCTCGACGCTGACGGTGCTGTCCTTCGAGCGGTACATGATGATCAGCAGGCCCTTCGGCGTGGGCGGGCTGAGCCGCCGCGGCGCCCTGGGCCTCATCGCCGCGGCCTGGCTCTACTCGCTGGCGCTCACCGCGCCGCCCCTCTTCGGCTGGGGCGAGTACACCAACGAGGCCGCCAACATCAGGTCAGCTCAGTTCATTTATCATATGCTTATTTTTTAGGCACGAAGTAGCCTTATAGTATACCCAGGACTCAGCCGGCTCGAGATTTGATTTGTGTGGCCCTTTATGCATTTCGGAAGTTTTCTATACGATTTTAATGAGATTTTGCAGACTAGTAGAACTTTGAACGCTGATTCTGATGTTGAAATCTGGTCAAAAATTTGGTGGCCAATTTTGAGAAATTTGCTGTCAAAATCGCCGTTTCCATGGCAAAACTCGACTCGTCAAAGGAAAAAAAAGGGAGTGGGGGGAGCCGAGCCGGGGCGGACCAATAGCGGAGCTTCTTTTTGGGTCTGTACAGCTTACTCCAAAAGCTGAAAAAGCAACGTTCGAAATGAAAAATTTCTTTGACTGCAGGTAGACAAGATGCAACAATAGAATTGGTGCCGGTTCGAACGCAGTTTTTCGGGTAGAACTATCCAATAATACTTCTTGATTGGAGTGTTTTTGGACATGCGCAGTGTTGTTGTTGTGATTCAGTTAGCACTAGGACCACTTCGCTCCACCTCGCGACTTGCAGTGCTCATGTTCCTCGAACAAGACTCACCCGCGTTTCGAAACCATCCCTCCCGAGTTTATGAAGTTTGTCAAACCAACCGTCGTGGTGTTGATACGTTGTAAGGGAGAACTATTACACAGAATTGAAGAAAACATGACTAGAGAACCATAGCCTTTTGAAACAAGCCAAACAATTCAACGTCCACAACAATGGAGGGGCAGTTTTAATGCGCGACTGCTGGCGCTTTCAGCTTCGCGATTTTCGCAAGGGCGCAGACGCCGAGAAAATAGTTGCCAACCCGAGAAAATTAATTTACTGACTTCTTTCTGCTAAGAACATTTTAATCATGATGGACTTCAAAGATGTTCCATTGTCAGAACACTGCGGAATACATTAGCATTGGAATTTTTTGAATTTACCAGCATTTTGATTTCTATTTATTGTCAAGTTTAAATTTCGACGGATGGCACATCGACCACATTGGTAAGTACCACTGCCATTGGTAGTCCCCTGAGCCACAACTTCACAACACCACTTCTTTTCTTTCTCCACACTCTTACACAATAATCAAATTGACTTCGTGACTCCTAGGATTTCTTGAAATCGTATTTTTTTTTGATCCGCCTACTTTTCATTTGTTCAGCGAAAACCATTGGTTGTAAGGAAAAGACAGGCCCCTGAATTCGCGATTGTCTCAGTCGAAGCTCCGATTTCGGTCGGTGACGCGTAGCGCCTGTGGAGTCGAGGGTAGGCAAGCCCGCTGCTCAGGGATGTCCGGCGGGTCGGCCTATCCTGGACTCCGCGGGCGCTTCGGCCACCACGCGTCTCCCAGGCAGTGCTGCCACAAAAAAAATGAAGTGAAAAATTCTCAGAATGCGCGACAGGGTTGCCAACCTCAGCCTGTCTCTAAGGCAATGACTTCTCAGGAGCAAAGCCCGGATGTGTCCCAGTGTAGGCTGAGGTCGGCAACCTTTCCGTCGCCGCGGCGTCTTTGGAGGCGACACTGCTCCCTGACGCGTCCGACTTGCCTTCCAGGCGCGAGCCTCTCGCCGCGTTGCGTCGCCGTGACGCTGACACGCGGGCCTGACACGCAGGCCTGACACGTGACTCGCTCCGCCATAAACGGATTGGTTTGCAGCTGCTCCATCAACTGGGAGACGCAGTCCAACCACTCCACCTCCTACATCATCTTCCTCTTCGTGTTCGGCCTGCTCGTGCCGGTGGTGGTCATCGTGTGGTCCTACGTCAACATCATCTTCACCATCCGATACGTGAGTGGGACTGCACGGGGCTCTCTAGCGGGGCCCTACCGAGAGCGTCATCGCTGCGTCAGCCCCGCACAGTGGGCCAGAAAGCCGGTGGAGGCCGTCAAAATCCCGGACGCGTTTTGAGCTCCAAAGTCGCTGAATGGGACTCGAACCGAACGTGTGACCCCACCAATGGATTGCTCTCAGAACGAGGAATCCAATGGTGGAGTCACACGCCCGGTTCGAGTCCCTTTGCACTCAGCCGTCCGGTGGAGGCAAGCCGAAGCAACCCGCCCAGACAGTGTGCCTCCGTTTTCCCTTTGTTGTTGCGGCTCTTTCGCTCCGGAGTTGCCGCGCTTTACAATTGGCCTTCTTTCGGACGCCTCCCCCGTGCGCTTTACAATTCGTGGGACCAACTTTTCGGCCACGTCTCTCGCGTCTCTCCCCTAGCCTGTAATTGCCTGCCCGGAGTTGGGGCTGATTCGGAAGAACAGCGTCGCTCTGTCTCTCTTGCGCTCGCAGGGCATCTCGTAAGAGTGTGAGAGAGACAGAGTGACGAACACTGCGGAATCAGTCTGCTGATAAGTAAGGTCCCGGAGGATAGTAGCAATAATTTATAACAATTAATTTGTTTAGTTGATTTGTTTTGGCTGGTTTGAAAGAAAAGATTTTGACAGCGCGTGTTGTTAAATCACAACATGTTGACTGGTGGAAGTTTTACAAATTAACGACAGTCGATATCGACGTCACGAGACGGAACACAGCTGCACTGTAAGGACTCGTGGCTGCAGTCTGGCTGGTGGCCGCGATGACGTTCGGCGCGCTTTCGTCGCAAACAGCATAACCGGGGCTATGCGCGTGTCGGAACGAGGAAGTGTGGTTGGTGCGTCGGGCGCTCGAGGAGCATTCCACCGAGAGCGAGGTTCACGGGGTTCCTTTGAGCGGCCGGCGGCCGGGCGGCCCCGCCAGGACGCGGCTTGCCGTGACAGCGATCCTTCGGGACGCCTCGCCTCGCTGGCGTCGGTGTGGCCGTGCCATGGCCGGGCTGGCTCCGTCGGCACCCTGCCCGGGCCCCGGGGGGACCCCTGACGAACCCCCGGGCTGTACGGGCAGCGTAGTGCGAGGGGAGGGGTTGGTCGAGCGGGGCAGTCTTCTGAGTCTTCGAGTCCTGCACAGCGGAAGATCGAGAGATCGAAGAGAGGAGGAAGCAGTGACAGTGGAACAGGGCGGAAGTGGAGGCAGGGGCAAAGGAGTGGGAGATCGGGCGTGCCCGGGCGTGCCGTGCATACACAGCATCACCTAGGGAGGCCACCTGCGAGCATCCGCGGAGGCAGCCCCGAGGCAGCTGCTGGAGGGGGCGGGCTGAGATATGGCCCCCAGGCCGTGTCGTGGGGCCCCGCTGGCGCGCTGGCCTCACGCTTCGCGGTGGAGTGAGCATCAAGGCTGCATTCCACACCGGTCTGTCTCACTCGCTCCCGTGGCGGAACCCTCGCGCCAGGGAGACAGGGAGCTGACTTACAGTGCGCAGGAACAGCCCTGTGTGTCGAGCACGCCGCTGGCGTCAGGCGGGTTTGAGAGTTGGTACACCCGGAAAAGCTGTTTCTTGAACCAAGATAATGATCAACCGAATTCGATTGAATTCTTTAAGTAAACTCACTGGCTGTCCATTTTCTTGGACGAGAAACGGAGTTTTCGGGTGTAGTGACGCTGCAGGCGGCCTTACCTGCCCGGCTCGGGCGACCCTACCTCTGGCGCCACCCGCCCGGTGATACAGGGCAGCAAACTAGTCCCCCGCCGGCCGTGCCCCGCGAGCCGTCGAGACAGCGCGACAGCGCTCCCGAGTTGTTGTTGGCCAAGTTCTTCGACGGGACTCATCCCGCTGAGGCTGTTTCGCCGTCGCCCCGCGTCAAGGCCCTGCTGCGGCGGCAGCAAGGCAGCAACTTGGCGGCCCGACAGCAACTTGGAGCGATGCAGCGAATCGCGGCCGACCGGCCCGCTTACCCCGTCCGCCTTGTTGCCTTGCTTGTTGCAGAACACGATCCGCATCGGGCAGGTGACGCGCGCGCAGCAGCGCATCGGCATCATGGTGGCCCTCATGGTGGCGGCCTTCCTCTTCTCCTGGACGCCGTACGCCGGCTTCTCGCTGTACGCCGCCTTCGGGGACCCCAGGAACATCGGCCCGGGGCTGGCCGTGGCGCCGGCGCTCTTCGCCAAGAGCTCCATCTGCTACAACCCCTTCATCTACGTCATGCTCAACACGCAGGTGAGGCTGGCCTTGACCCGCCCTGCCGCCCCGGCCGGGACCCTGGCCCCGACCCTGGCCCCGTGCCGCGTGGCCCGGCCAGCGGTACAGTAGCGTCCCTGCAGGGCCCAGGGCCTGCAGGGCCCGGGTGGCACGCCGCGCCTCGCCCTGCCGAGCCGCCGCGCTGCCGTGCTCAGCCGGGGATGGGAACTGAAAACGTCCATGCAGTACTGTATAGCTAGCGCACCTGCAGGGCGGAGGACGGCCTGCCCCCGTGGGCCGCAAGGCGATGGAGGCACTGGAGGTGAGCCCCGGCCGCAGCCCCGGCCGCAGCCGCGGCGGTCCGGGCAATGGGCATGCATCACAGAGGCAGCAGTAACACTTTGCGTCGCCCTCCTCCCCCTCCCCCCTGCCTGCGCGCTGCGCTGCGCTCCGAGCGGGGAGCGGAATGTAGCCCTTTGCTAAGAGCCGCCCCGCCTCGCTGTTCCAGTTCCGGGCCTCGTGGAAGCGGCTGTGGGGCAGCCACTCTTGTGACACGTCGCTGGAGGCGGGCGTGGAGCCGTCCGTGCCCGGCGAGGTGGTCGTCACACAGCAGACGACGGCGGGCTACGCGTCCCCGGAGACGCCGCTGCGGCGGCCCAACACGCCGCCGCCGTCGTACCGCCGGCAGCGCAAGCTGGAGCGCCTGCACCTGCTGCAGCAGGAGCGCGCCGCCGCCAACAACAACAACAGCAGCAGCAACGGCAGCAGCAACAACAACATCGTGCGGTCCGTGGTGTCCAAGAGCGCGCCCGCCTCGGAGGGCGCGCCGACGGTGCACTTCCACGCGGCGAGGCCGGCCAAGCCGAGGCCGCGGTCCGCGCCGCCCAGCACCGCCAACCTCAGCGACTCGCTGGACGACGACGACGCGTCGCGGACGGCCAAGCGCGGCGAGAAGCGCGCCAAGGTGAGTGGCGTCGCCCTGTCTCTCTCGCACCTACACGGGACTCCCCACGAGTGTGACAGAGACAGAGCGACGGAAACGACGCTCGGAGTGAGACTGCCGCCGGCCTGCCGGCCGCGTCGCTACCCCTCGCAAGCGGCGCTCTGCGGCAAGGGGTAGCGACGGCCATGCCGTGCGCCGCCGGCAGCGAATTCAGATAATGGCCGGCACATCTCGGCTGGGGCCGTGGTAACGAGAATGGATCGGGGTGTCGATGCAAAATGGATGGCGCGTGGCGTGGCGGCGTGGCGGCGCGGCCCCGGCCACGGCGAGGTGCCGCAGCGGGGTGGCGGATGCAAGTGGCGTCTCGTTGGCACACAGTGGGCCAGAAGGCCGGCGCAGGCGGCCAGCTCAGGAGTCGCTAACAGGACCCGAACCGAGCTTGTGACCCCCACCAACGGATTCCTCGTTCGGAGAGCAATTCATTGGCGGGGCCACACGTTAGGTTCGAGTACCGTTTAGTGACTCTGGAGCTCAAAACGCGTCCGGGATTTTGACCACCTCCACCGGTCTGCTGGTCCACTGTGTGGCGGGAGCGAGTGGCGCCATGGCACATCGGGAGCCGAATCTGAAGCATCAGCGCGGCAAAAGTTGGACTGGCCGGCATTCCGTCTGGGCCGAGATGGGCCGACTCGGTTATTAAATCGCAAGCCGCTGCGGAGACGAGGCCGAGGACGGTGGAATGAATCCGCATCCACACTGTCAAACGCCGCGGATCCGCGGACATTGTTAATCCCGCGAATTCCGCGCATACTGCGCATATCTGCGTCCCTCCCCGAGTCCCCCTCCGAGTCCCTGTCGGTCTTCGGGCGTGTGCTGCCTGTACGGTGTAGGGGACTCGGAGCCCCAGAGAGGGCAGGGCAGCCGCTACAGCGACCTCATCATTCTGTTTCCTCAATTTCGTTTCTTGATACACCGAAATGGCGAAATACGTTTCCTCTCGTTTCCCCTTCCAGCTCCAGGAGCGGCAGCGGCTGCGGCAGCTCAAGGAGATGGCCCGGAAGCAGTCGCGCTACGAGCGCCAGCTGGAGAAGGAGCTGGAGCGGCACGAGCGCGACCTGGACCTGCAGCGCGAGAAGCAGGAGCGGCTGGAGGAGAAGCGACGCCGCAAGGAGGACAGCCTCAAGCGCCTGCAGCAGCAGCAGTTCAGCGCCAAGTTCCACCCCGCCTGCCTCGTGGCGCTGGTCACCGACCCCCGCAACAACGCCGTGCTCTCGGTAACCACAACACTTCGACAAGTATTATTTTAAAACCAAACGCAATTTTCAAAAAAAAATCATCAAAACATAAGAATTTTTTTAAGTGGCAATGTTATGATGAACTAAGGTTTTTTTTTCTGGGAAAACTTAGTGAAAGCGACGGGTTAGTTTCCTTGACAGACTCCTCGCCCGCGGGGCAGGGCCGGCGCGGCGGCGCAGGGCGCTCGCAGGCACAAGTTCTAAGTCCTCTTTGCCGCACTGCGCGCCGCCATGCCGCGCGCTGACGTGGCGCTGCCTGCGCTGCGCCGCGCCGCGGACAGCCCGGCGTTATTTCATTCGTGCTGTGAAGTGAAGTGACTGGCCGGTAATGCCCGTTAGGCGCCGTTAGGAAGGGATAAGGGCGACCGGGGCGGGGAAACTTCCAGTGCCGGTGACCGACTCGCTCGACGGGGAAAGAGGAAAAGCGCACTTTGTGATTAAGGAGCAAAAGCACGCGGAACGGCGGCAGGCACAGTGGGCCAGAAGACCGGTGGAGGCGGCTAAAACTCTGGACGCGTTTTGAGCTCCAGAGTCGCTAAACAGGCCTCGAACCGAACGTGTGACCCCACCAATGGATTCCTCGTTCGGAGAGCAATCCATTGGTGGGGTCACAGATTCGATTCAAGTCCCATTTAGCGACGCTGGAGCTCAAAACGCGTCCAGAGTTTTGGCCACCTCCACCGGTCTTCTGGCCCACTGTGGCAGGGCGGCACGGCGGGCTGGCGGGCCAAACACGCAGCGCCCCGCGTCCCCGCCCGTCTTTGAGGAACGACGCGGCGCCGGGCAAGGGGAAACTACTTTGAATTTTGGTGTACATGGCCGTGAATTTCATGAATTTTTTGAAATTTTTGCATTTTTGTTGAATTTTTATGAATTTTGACAAATTTCAATGAATTTTAGTGAATTTTCAAGATTTTTTTGAATTTTGATGAATTTTTTGAACTTGGCTGCAGTTTTTGAATTTCATGAATTTAGATGAATTTTTATGAATTTCTCTGTTTTCTAATGGAATTTTGATGAATTTCAATGAATTTTTGGGCTTTTGATCGCCCAGGCCATCTAGGACAGTGGTTCTCAACCTTAGGGTCGCGACCCCAAGCGGGGTCGCGAAATTTTTTTAAGGGGTCGCGGCGATGCTGGGGTCGTGTTTTAGGCCGATTTTAAGCAGCCACTGCGTCTGATCCGAAGCGGGCATTTTGCTCCCTCAGCGGGCAATCGGTCTTTGGACCTTCCTTTAGCATGCCTTTGTTACGGAGTGCAATTATCAGTCTTAGTTTGGGAGCAGTATAGTCTCGAAGTTGGCCGAAACGCTCAGAAATGTCTATGAAAAATCGTGTTTTGGACCGATTTTAAGCAGCCACTGCGTCTGATCCGAGGCGGGCATTTTGCTCCCTCAACGGGCAGTTGGTCTTTGGACCTGCCTTTAGCATGCCTTTGTTACGGAGTGCAATTATCAGTCTTAGTTTGGGAGCAGTATTGTCTCAAAGTTGGCCGAAACGCTCAGAAATGTCTATGAAAAATCGTGTTTTGGGCCGATTTTAAGCAGCCACTGCGTTTGATCCGAGGCGGGCATTTTGCTCCCTCAACGGGCAGTTGGTCTTTGGACCTTCCTTTAGCATGCCTTTGTTACGGAGTGCAATTATCAGTCTTAGTTTGGGAGCAGTATTGTCTCAAAGTTGGCCGAAACGCTCAGAAATGTCTATGAAAAATCGTGTTTTGGGCCGATTTTAAGCAGCCACTGCGTCTGATCCAAGGCGGGCATTTTGCTCCCTCAACGGGCAGTTGGTCTTTGGACCTTCCTTTAGCATGCCTTTGTTACGGAGGGCAATTATCAGTCTTAGTTTGGGAGCAGTATTGTCTCAAAGTCGATCAAAACGGTCGCAAGTGTCTTTGAAAAATCGATGTGACTATTTTGGTCAACTTTAAGACAATACTGCTCCCAAACTAAGACTGATAATCACACTCCGTAACAGAGGCATGCTAAAGGAAGGTCCAAAGACCAACTGCCCGTTGAGGGAGCAAAATGCCCGCCTCGGATCAGACGCAGTGGCTGCTTAAAATCGGCCCAAAACACGATTTTTCATAGACATTTCTGAGCGTTTCGGCCAACTTTGAGACAATACTGCTCCCAAACTAAGACTGATAATTGCACTCCGTAACAAAGGCATGCTAAAGGAAGGTCCAAAGACCAACTGCCCGTTGAGGGAGCAAAATGCCCGCCTCGGATCAGACGCAGTGGCTGCTTAAAATCGGCCCAAAACACGATTTTTCATCGACATTTCTGAGCGTTTCGGCCAACTTTGAGACAATACTGCTCCCAAACTAAGACTGATAATTGCACTCCGTAACAAAGGCATGCTAAAGGAAGATCCAAAGACCAACTGCCCGTTGAGGGAGCAAAATGCCCGCCTCGGATCAGACGCAGTGGCTGCTTAAAATCGGCCCAAAACACGATTTTTCATAGACATTTCTGAGCGTTTTGGCCAACTTTGAGACAATACTGCTCCCAAACTAAGACTGATAATTGCACTCCGTAACAAAGGCATGCTAAAGGAAGGTCCAAAGACCAACTGCCCGTTGAGGGAGCAAAATGCCCGCCTCGGATCAGACGCAGTGGCTGCTTAAAATCGGCCCAAAACACGATTTTTCAAAGACACTGCTGACCGTTTAGGCCAACTTTGAGACAATACTGCTCCCAAACTAAGACTGATAATCGCACTCCGTAACAAAGGCATGCTAAAGGAAGGTCCAAAGACCAGTTGCCCGTTGAGGGAGCAAACTGCCCGCCTCGGATCAGACGCCGTGGCATGTTAAAGGAGGGGTCCCGTGGGGTCGCGAAATTTTTCCTGGGGGTCGCGGAAATTTTTGGCTTCAAATTTGGGGTCGCGAGCCGAGAAAGGTTGAGAACCGCTGATCTAGGAAGCATCCAAGAAGTCGGGTGCAACGTCCGCGGGAGTCTGTGCCTTCATCGCGCAGTACGGGTTGGTCCATCGAGTGTGTCGGATCCCTCTGTTTCAACCGACCCGTTCGGCCGGACGCGTTAATGCAGGCGCTTGGATGCTCTGCTATACTCGGCGCCCCACCGCCCACGTCTGTCCGTCTTTCCTGCGTGAGACTTGGAGAGGGTGTCAAATGCGATCAAGAAAAACATTCGTTTGTTCATCCCTATGTGTGAATGTATCGGCGTGTTTCCGTCGCGTTGCTTACACGCACTCACTCTACAAATCAAAGAGTGTACATGGTACGCTCTAACTGGAGCATGCCTGCAAGCACGCTCTAGCTAGCGCATGCCTGCCAGGCATGCACTAACTAGTGCATACATGCCATGTACACGCTAACTGGAGCATACATTTACTGCATAAGGGATAGGGAGTTTTCTGCATCAGGAAGCGTGTACATGGCATGTATGCTCTAGTTAGTGCATGCTTGGCAGGCATGCGCTAGCTAGAGCGTGCTTGCAGGCATGCACCAGTTAGAGCATACTATGTACACTCTTTGATTTGTAGAGCACGTGCGCTCTCTGAGCGGCCGGGGGCCGTCCGAAACACATTCCAGAAGGATCGAGAAGGTTTTCTGTGAAGAACAGAGGACCATCCCCCAAAGAAATGACACTGTTAATAGATGTCCCCGGCAAGGTCGAGGAGCCCGGCCGGGGGAGGGGGAAGGGACCGGCGGCGGAGGCGGCGGTGGCCAGCCTGCACCACGGGACGCCATTCATTGACACCGAGCCTCCTTCGGCCGCTGTGCCTTCAAAATTGACCCACAAGTTCCAACTCAAACAAAATTTTGGACCGTATAGAGGCGCAAAAGACGCTTGTGTAGTTTTAAAAATTGTAAAATTTAGGGAAATACTAGAACACCTGTGCGTCGGTAAGAGTCAGAGTAGTAGCGCCAACACACCGATAGCGGGTAGCCATGCTCACTGTGGCACTCGCGGGCTGCAGCGTTAGCAATCAAGAGAGACCTCCTCCCCTCCCCCCCTTCCCCTCACAACCACACGGTCTCCGCGAGGGCTCTCCTAACGTTTTCCTACGCTTAAATCATGCATCCCATGGTAAATTAACGAAAATTCATTGAAATTCATTGAATTTTAGTGAGTTTTAATGAATTTCAGTGAACGTTGACACATTTTGATGAATTTTGTACACTTTTTGAATTTTTGCACTGCAATGAATTTTATGAATTTCAGTGAATTTTTAAAAATTTCGATGAATTTCAAAGAATTTTGGTGAATTTTTTAATTTTATGAATTTCACTGAATTTTTTGAATTATGTTGAAGTTTTTTTGAATTTGCATTAGGTGTACACATTTTTTCGAAGTAGTTTCCCCTTGGCGCCGGGCTCCACCGCGTGCCGCGCGGCCCGTGCTCCGGAGGGAGAACGCTGAAAGCGGCGACGTTTATCCTTCGGAGGCACTGCGCGGTCTAGGGCCACGTGCCGCGCCGAGTCGAAGCCTCACTTGCAGGAAACCAATTAGCATGAATGCGGCCCGCAGGCCCGTTCCAAGGCCCGGCCCCCAGACATCGGCATTGTTTTTCCCGGCCGGGGATTTTGCTAATGAACACTCCGGGCGGTCGGCGGGACCTGGCGTCGCCTGGCGCTGACAACATGCGTCACGGAATAGGCGCTAGGCCTGGCCTGGCCTGGCCCTGGGCGGAGGGAGCGACCCAGCGACCCCGGAACCCCGGGCCCTGAATCCGAAAGCGGCGTCCAGAGAACAGAGCGCTGGTGCCTGGGGCTGCCCAATGGGGCTGCCTTTGTCCGACTCATGCGACGCACCGTAGAGGTTCAAGAGACAGGGCGACGAGATGGCTCCTCGGAATCTCCGGGCGATGTCCCCCGGCGGGCGGGGGAGCGCCTGCGGAGTAGGCCAGCCCGCCAGACACGCGCGTCGCGGAGCTGCCTACTCGGCGGCCAGCAGGCGCTCCCGAGTCCTCGCCGACCGGGCCTAACCGGGCCCAGAGCGCCACCCCAGTGACAATGCTCGTGCTTGCAGGTGAAGATGGGCGACGGCGTGAGCCGGCACAGCGGCCCGAGCTTCCTGGCGCGGTGCTTCGGCAAGCAGGACGCCGCGGGCAGCCGGCGCGGCCGCGGCCTGGAGGCGAGGCGGTCCCGCGCCGAGGCCGGGCGCGCCGAGGCCGGCGCCGACGACCTGTCCGTGTCGTCCGTGGACTGCAACCAGGGCATCGAGGTGTTCGAGGTGGAGATCCGGCGGGGCGACGCCAACCACCACCAGCGGCAGCCGCCCATCGAGTCCGCCCTGTGAGGGCCTGGCCGCCTGGTCACCCTTGGCTAGACTAGGCGGCCGCGCCCTCCACGCAGCCCGCCAGCATTGGGCTCCACGTGAGCGCGCAGTGCTCCGCCGGGGAGGACGGCAAAGAGCCTGCTCGTCCTGCCCCGCCGAGCACGGCGTCGTCACCGAGCTCCGCGTCGTCGCCGAGCACCAAGCCGTCGTCGAGCACCACCACGCCGAGGCCGCCGCCGAAGAACTCCCTCAACAGAACAGTTCCTCCAACACGAGCCAGTGGGATTTTCGTGGTCGTTCCCGCAGGGGTTTCCGTAGGGGACGTGCTTCAGTGAGTTGAAGAAGCAGTGTAGACTCCAACCAAACAACTAAAAATTAATTCAAATCGACTAAAGCTGTTTTAGTTGATGTTATGCTGTTGCATTTTTAGTCCATTTGATTTCATTTTTTTGTAGGGCGAAGGGAAAGGGCCGTATCGCCGTAGACTTGTCACTGATTCGACGTGGTTGAGTGGATTTCTCTAAAGTCTTTCTGGCCAGAGGGCCCGGCTGTGCACACGGTGCGAAACGGCGCTTTCCTGTTCTTCCAACCGGGACACTCCGGACTTTCTTTCTCCGTTGGTCCCGTTATGACAACCTACGAAGCCTGCTGTTTGGTGCCTTCGTTTCGAAAATCAGACGAGCCATCAGTAGGATTTTTCAAAACTGTGTGCAATAAGACTGGGTGAAAAGGAATAGTGTCAAAAAGGTCCTCGGGTATTATGCTCCAGAACTTGACGTAGAATTAAAATTGCCCTGTGATAGTAGTTGCCTCTCTGTCGACCGATCCTATTCCCGTTCCCGAAAGTTTTTCGTATTTCGAGGACAGAATCTCAACTTCATCTATGGATAAGCATCGGTCTGTGATAATGAAGCTCCGCAAGCCACACTGGTAAAAGCATGGCGTAACGTAACGCTCACGCTCGTCTTGGAGCGTTCAGGCCAAAATCCCTCAGTACTCTTCGAGAAGAGCGTCACCATCACGCTCAAAGAAAAGCACCTCGTTACGCCGTAGTTTTACCAGAGTCTAGTTTGTTGTTTCTGCCGTTATGGTTTATCGGTGGGGAGATTATTATTTTTACCGTTCTGTGATAGTTGATAAACTTTCCAAAGTTATTATTATTCAATAAGTTGATAACTGACGCATCTGCCTGAATTCGTATTTTGGGTCACCATGATGGTCCTGACCTGTCGGTCCACACATGGGCCTGCCAGTCACGCTGCAGGCGTTCGGCAAAGTCAGAGAAGCTGGGATCTTTTTTGGAATGAAGAGCACAAAGGATTAGTTAATGTAAGTTAATTTAAATTTAGGCTTTTACTCCGCTTGTAAGCCAGCTTGGCAAAAGCAAGAAAAAAATTTATTCTTGATTGTTTGTTAACAATTTAATCTATGTATAGTAGTGTTGTTAATAGTTTTGTGTGTTTTAAAATTTAATTCCAGTGTGGCTTGAGACTTTTGACAAATTAAAATCTTGCTTTCAGTGACTCAGTTTTGTTTTCATCATGTTTTACAAAAAAAAACTTGAAACACGATATCTAATTGTTGGGTTAGTTCTTTAGAATATGATTTTCGGACGTGGTTAACAATATGGATCAAATGGATTCGGATGTGTGGGGATTCTAGTCCACTTGAGCGCGTCAAGGAACTTGGTCTGCTCTGGTAGTTTGAGAAGTCGCGCAGAACGTCCACCTTGTTGGCTTGTTCCAATTTGCGTTGCGCGCTATTTCTCGCGTTACTGTTCCGTTAGTTTTTTATCTTTTTTCTCTTTACAATAATATACTTGTAATTTGTGTACATATGCCGCAGCTGTTATAGCAGAGATTTTTCGAAGGCAAATATTTAGTTGCGTAGTCTTGTTTTTCCTTGATTGTGCCGCCGACGCACAAATAATGGTAATTGAACAGGGTAGTGAGCGCATGGCGCGAACGAGCACTCTGGGTGGAATCTAAATGACAAAATTGTATCCTGTATCCAATTTTGAAGTGACTTTCACGCAAGCACGTCAGTCTTCATTTTTGAATTCCACCCGGGGATTAAGCTTGCCGTAGCGCGCACTGGAAACGCAGTACTGTACGTTTGTCTTTAAGATTAAGCTGAGTTAATGTAGGGGGGAAGGAGTACGGTGCCCATTGTAACGGCAATTGCGGGGCATGGGTGTAGCGAAGGTCCAATAATGTATCCATTTCTTGTTTTCATTATAACGCTATGTTTGTTTCATTTCCTCAGATCGGGCTATTTTTTTAATAATCTAGCACAACCAGCGACAACGTGTTTTGTGAAATTCGGGAGTTTCTTCAAAATGTGAGGCGATGGTAAACGTCAGGATATTTTTGTGCTTGCATCAATAAAGTGTTGTAATTATGATTGTGCTGTTGTTGGGGCCGTTCAGGCGGGCGCGCCGGAGGGCGGGCGGGGCAGCACGAGAAGGCTGGCGACGACGTGGCGCCGCTCGCGCCGACGACGACACAGCCGCCAGGCGTGCGCGGCCAGCACCGCCAGCGCCTTGGCCAGGCAGTGCACCAGCTCCACCACGCTCACGCTAGACATGCCCAGGCACAGCCCGCCGATGCCTCCTATGATCGCTGCAAGGAAACACCATCATACTGACTGAAGCGAAAAGACCAAACCGAGTAGCCGCCACTCACTGAGCCGGCGGTGCAGGCTGTAGTCGCGCGTCACGAGGTGCTTGGTGGCGGGCCGGCGCGCGTCCATGAAGATGTCCAGGGAGCCGGCGCGCGACACGCCCGGCGCGCCCTGCACCGTCGTGATGTGCGAGTCGAAGGAGACGAAGTCGCACGCCGCGATGCAGTGCGAGCAGTTGATGCCCCGCCGGGTGAGCCCGTCGTCCGGGAAGCCCAGCGGCGGCAGGAGCAGCCGCGTCGCGTCTGGAAGGGCGGCCCATCAGCGCTCTCTCTCTCTCTCCCTCTCTCTCCCTCCCTCCCTCCCTCCCTCTCTCTCTCTCTCTCTCTCTCTCTCTCTCTCTCTCTCTCTCTCTCTCTCTCTCTCTCTCTCTCTCTCTCTCTCTCTCACACACACACACATCCAAGGGCGAAAGCTATTCAATTTCCCCAGCCGAAGTGTAGGCACTCTTTGCATGCGGTGTGCCTCCCCCTCCCCCTCGTCTCCGCCCCGAGCGCCGACGCCGAACGCCGACCTCATCCAAACTAAACTCGCAAGTCGCAAGCGCGCCACAACAGTGTCGAGGCTCAGCGCCGGACCACCGCGACTTCTGCGAAAAGGCGCGTGCCAGGCCGTGCCAGGCCGTGCCAGGCCGTGCCAGGCACTTGGGGCCACGCCGTTAAGTAAGCAGCCCCAAGGCGTGGGAGGGGCGGGACACGGGCGGGAGGAGAGGGAGGGTGGTGTAGGCTCGACTCACGGACGTCCTGTAGACAAGCCAGCTGACTGGTGTCACACGGGGGCACGACGCCGACCTGGGCTGCGAACCCAACACAAGGAACCGGTGAGACAGGAGCACTACGCACGCGATATCAGGGCGAGGCGACTTGGCCGAAGTGCGAGGGCTGCCGTACTGTACATGTAGGGCGCGCAATGGCACACCCGGATGATGTGGTCGATCTTGCACTGCGTGAGGCAGTTGGTGGACGCGTAGACGCCGGCGATGCCCAGGCGGCCCTCGCTGGCGCGCAGGCACCGCCGCCTCTCGACGGGCAGCTGCATCACCTCGTCGTCCACCGTGGTCCAGTCGATGCTCACGCTCATGTGCAGGGACATGGAGCGGCCCGCCGACAGCACGAAGCCGGCCGCGGGGACGGGCATAGCCCCGTTCTGGTGCAGCACCACCTGCGAGAGAGTCGTTCGCTGTGTCTCTCGCACCTGGGACGCCCCGAGAGCGAGAGAGACATGAGTCTGCGCGCACCACCAGCCCCCGCCGGGTGCGGTACTTGAGGATGTCGTAGTCGGGCAGCTCCTTGAGGAACACCTGCAGGCCGCTGCCCGGGCCGAAGCCCGACGTCCGCCGCATGGTGCACTCCTCGCTCTCGTCCACACTGGTGCTGCCAAACGAACCGCTCGTCATTGTCATGGTTTAATGTTTTAGAACAAAACAGTAAAGCGACAAAAAAGACGGGGGCTGCTGCTGACCAATGCCGAGTCCGGAGGTTGGTCAGTGAGTTGACCGAGTAGCAGAAGCCGATCTCCGACGGCTGGAGCTCCATCATATTGCAGCAGTCCAGGTAAGAGCCGTGCCAGAAGCAGCGCTCGAAGAGCTCGTCGCAGGTAGGCAGGACCTGGAGAGTAAGTCGATTAGTCGAAAGTCGAACGAGTAGCAGGCGAAGCGTGAGACTTCACCAGGCGGGGGGCGGAACCAGCAGGAATCCTTTCAGCGGCACTAGGTCTACGAAAACACCGAGGAGTCCCTGGAGGCAATATCGGGACTCCATCGAAAGAGGGAACATCAATTATTCTCCGTCAGTGCTCGCCCTTTGAGAGATACAGGCCCGGCTCCCTGGAGACGATCGAAGCCACTCTTACAGTGCACACCACCACAGGTCACGCGTCACGGCTCTCCAGGCACGCACCCCACCCCCTTTATGCGCTACGTTTCCCAAACGCGCCTTGATCATGAAGTCCGTGGTGTTGATGCCCTTGAGGAGGCGGAGGAGGGCCGGTCCCGCCAGGAAGAGGCTGGGCCTCATGTTGGTCAAGTCGGACACCTCCATGAAGGACAGCGCGCGCAGCACGGACACCATCGCGGAGTGCGTGGACGCGTTCAGCGACCACGGCGACAGCCCCAAGTGCCTGGAGCAAGTCGTTTCAGAACGTGCATGCTTTCCACTCCACTGCAATATGGACTCGGACACACTTACTCGGACATGAGCCGGATGGCCACGCTCTTGCGCACCTTGTTGAGCGGGCACAGGGACAGCGCAGGGAAGGGGAACTGGGTAGGCGGCAGGTAGGCGGCGGCGATCCGGGTGGACGTCTGGTACAGCATGTCGCCGAACAGGATGCTGTAGACGAGGAAGTATCCCAGAAAGGCCACCGCCACCATGGCAGCCAGCCACACCAGCCTGTACGACAAAATCAAAACGAAAAGGCGTTCAAAACAAATTGAAGTAAAACAAGTAGTTTGCAGCTATCTCTTTTGGCGTTGCCTCTCTTTTCCGGGCGTGGTCACGGAGCCCACGTAGATGACGCCGTGCACGGTGCTGTACTTGACGTAGAGGTCCCAGAGGTGCCTCAGGTCCTCTTTCACGGTCACCCCCACCCTGGCCGTCACCGCGCCGATGGCGCTGACACTGGACACGGTCCTCAACGCCGTCGTGTAGCAGCCGGAGTCCCGGGTCCAGGACGAGGCCGCGCTGCCGAAGGACGCGTTGATCCTGGTGGACGCCATCGACGCCGTCATGATGTCCCCTCGACTTGAGACCTTCCTCAGGTACTTCTTGGCGGGCACTGTGAATGCCTACGCTGCTCCGCCGGCCCCGCCTCGGCCACCTCGGTGGCGTCTTTGCTTCGGACATCGGCCATCGATTGGCGAAATGGGTGAGCACACATCTCACGGCGCAATCGGGGAAGTCGTCCGAACGTATTTCGTCCCGGCGCAGGAACCACTGGTATACAAAAAAAGTGTTTGCAGTTGTCAAGATTTTTATCGACTGTATGCACACGGTCGTTGTGGACAAGAAATCTGGATAGCGACAGGCACTTGCAATGGCGGATTATTTGAATAGGTTTTAGGTCAACACTTCACTCCCACGAACACGGACAGCAGTAGGGACTTCGGTGGATCGTTCGTTGAAGGCAATCGGCAGGCTACTTGTCGCATTGTAGCGTTTCAGCTCGAGTCAGGAGTTCCTGACTAGCGCTCTTTCATTGTGCGAATAGCTCCCATCGAGCGCTCGGATTGGCCCAACAGTCCGGCCGCACTGCGAATAACGGAGGATGTGCGGCACGGCTATTCTCACGACAGAATTGTGCTGCCGAAACCCTGCGAATAACGCGAGCGTCTGGAAGTTGCTGATGTGGTGTAAACAAACAGACGTTTTGACATTCAAACCGACTGGTTTGAAATGATGTTTCGTTGCAAGGTTCCTGAGTAGTCTGACCAGATAAAGGGGACCAAGCTTTTTAACTCGCCTATTGCCACTGTCATTTCAGTAACGAAGCTTCTTAACCAAAAAATGTTTCATTCGTTGAATGTCTAAGACGTTTCCAATTGGAGTGAGGTTTCTCTCTTTGTAAACCAGCATGTATCATGAGGCTACGTACTCGTGGCCTCGTCAAAAGCAAGACATGAAGCATAAAAACAAATATCTATCAATCGGCTGTATTGTCCTTGTTGTGGTTGTTTGGTTATGGCTGGGAACACCAAGTAGTAAGTACATCCTTTCACCTTGATTTAAGTAGATTGTATATTTTTAAGGATGTCCTTGGAGTGCTTGATTTAGTACTTGTGTGACCTCTCAGGTATTTCATCAAGTTATGAAATATATTGCACCTTCATACACCTTACCCTCAGGCCCGATCTTAATGGTTTTGTTTCTTTTTCTGTTTTATAGCCGCCCCAACCCATGCCGATATTGTTCCTAAATTTCCAAAGGTTGATCCTGAATTCCAAAATGATGCTATCAGGCAACGCATTTCGGAATTGGAAAGTGAGGTATGTGTATGGCATCTTTGGCTCTATTTATTTTGTGATACACCATCTGTTTCAAAGATGCATTACTTATATTTCTTTTCTTTTTTACAGGTTCAATACCTAAAGGCTACTGCAGCAACATGCCGAGTGCACAAAAATCAACTAGATCCAGATGTACCAGTAATATATGCTATAACTCCAACTTACGCTAGACCTGTTCAAAAGGCAGAGCTTACAAGGTGCTTAATCTCGTTCCCTTGGGCTTGCTCAGATTTGTTTGTGAAACTTGGATCTATCCTAATCTTCAGTGATTGTTACTAACAGGCTGTCTCACACGCTGATGCTGGTTCCAAACTTACATTGGATCATAGTTGAAGATGCAGATGATAAAACAATGCTAGTTGCAAATTTGCTCAGAAAATCAGATATTCCACATACTCATCTTGTTGCTCCAACTCCAAAGGAGTGGAAAAGAAAAGAGAAAGTATGTACTAGAGTTGCATTTTTTAAATCTCAAACTATTGCACTGTGGTTAATTTAATTTTACATGACCAATAGGAGCCAAATTGGAAAAAGCCTCGGGGTGTCTTACAAAGAAACAAAGCTCTTGAATGGCTTCGCAATGAACTGAGCTATGATGTTACTACTGATCAAGGTGTCATTTACTTTGCTGATGATGACAATGCGTACAGTTTGGAAATATTTGAAGAGGTATGGTAATGTTGCGAATGACTTCTCAATGAAGCGTAGAATACATTTTCATTTTTCTATCATCTTTATTTTCAGATGAGAAAAATTAAGAAAGTTGGTGTCTGGCCTGTTGGATTAGTAGGTGGTTTGATGGTGGAGAAACCACTGCTGAATCAAACTACTCATAAAGTTGCTGGGTTTAACAGTGGCTGGCGGCCTGAAAGACCATTTCCCATTGACATGGCGGGATTTGCTATTAATTTAGGATTACTCTTGGATCACCCAGAAGCCAAGTTCTCCTTGACTGTTGAAGGTGGTTATCAAGAGAGTGAAATATTGCGCAATCTGGTCACACGAGAAGAACTTGAACCCTTGGCTGAATACTGTACAAAGGTAAGCTGAAGACTTTTATTTTTTCTCTTAACAAACTGCTAAGCTAATTTGTTGAGCACTACACATATTGTTCTCCTTTGTGTTCAGGTATATGTTTGGCATACAAGGACGGAAGCACCAAAACTCTCTGGTGAAATGCAGCTTCGTAAGAAGAACATGCGATCTGATCAAGATATGGAGGTTTGAACCACATTTTTAAAAAAATTTAGTGTAATTCATTAAGACTTGAGGAAGGCCATTACTGCCAGCTCAGTGAGACCTAATGTATAGTAGGAAGCCATAAAGAAGAACAACTATCCAAGATTCATTGGGCCGCGTCTTTCACAAATGCTAAGTGATAATGTCAATTATTTCACAACAAATGGCAAGAAATGTCCAGGAAGTAAAAAAAGTCAAGTAAGGTTGTGACAGCTTAATTGTTCTCTCTATGTACTTCAAAAGTATTGATGAATGAGGCTTTATTTTGGTTGTTCCTTAGTTGTAGCCTTGCTCATTTTAACTTATTTTTTGTGATCAACTTTTGTTAGTTTATATTCAATTATTTTGTCATTGAATGACATTTCAAAACGATTATGGTGCCAACATCACATAGTGCAAACTGTAGAAATTTTAATTATTGTTGTATTGTCCCTCTTTGTAGTGTTTTATTTATTTGTTACTTTTTATAAATTTTCCTTGACAGATGTATTATTATTTCAGTATTTTATGGAATCTCGTTCTATCGTCAGACAAGTAGGCATTCATTATTTTCCTACCATTTGAGTACTTTTTAACTTAAGAATAAATGAGTCTTCTCTTCTGAGAGCAATTTGTTACATAATAAAATTCTCTTTGTCTTTGGAGTTGATGTTGATTAACCCACCCAAACTACAGTATTCTTATCAATTTTGATATTAAAGATATTAAAGATGGGCACCGCAGTCATTAGAAGGTGAGAATAACTAGACTGTCATCTTTTTCTTTGGTGTTAAATCTTGACACTTGCAATTCAAACCAAGACACTGTTACCTTTTACTAGTTCACACACTGATTTTCCATTAGATTTATCCCACAAGGCACCAAAATGAAAAATGCGACCATAAAAGTTTTACTCTTATATTTTCTGACATGAGATAAGGTATAATTTTTACTGTCAAACATAAAATAAAATCCATTTGTACATTATCCAAACATATCATTTCAAAAAGTGGAAATGGTAGAAATAAAAACAACATGACTGAAGAAAATTAAAACTATCGTCGCCTTTTGGACAGAATGTTGAGGTACTTTCCTCTGGTCATTTCCTTTGCTTCTTCCAAGCCCAATTGATAAGCTAAATCATGAAGTCTCTTTACCTCAGAAATGAGGGCTGGCATTGACAAATTGCTGAATTCTGTAAAGATAGAATTAAACTTTGAAAATAGACATTGCTTCCATAGCATTAGATTTGATTACTTCAAGAAATGTTGATTGAAACTTACGATTCATTAGTGTCATGTCTTCACTTGTAAATTCACCAGCCCAGGGATCTTTGGTGCCATTAGACGATGATGCATATGATGCAAAATCAAGCATTCCAGGGACTGCACAAAACAAACAAGTTACAAATTAACAAAATCGCTACCTGAAAAAACTTAAACCTACTGGAATAAAAGATTTACTTTGTTCAGGCCAGAGTTCAGGAGACGTTCGATCCAACTTCTCCATACTGAGTAGACTATCATCTAATGAAGACATGATTCCACCTGAAACAGAGCAAAATAAAAGTTACAATAATTATCATGACATGTTAACTAGTTTTTCATTTAAACAATTTGTGCTAATATCTGAACTTCAGAAACAATCAAAATATACGTCCCAGGTCATAGAGACTAGTTAGTACCTCATTTGTCTTCGAGCCCAAACCGCTCATGAACTTGTTTCAAGGTTTGACCTTCTAATGAAGCTAGTCTCCCCAGTACAATTTGAGTGGCATCTTTGATTTCATTGTATTTATGAAGAAGACTCATAACAGTTTTGACATCAGTTTCAATGCCTATCAGATTCGAAATGTCATCATCCAGAGAGGCTTCTTTCTTACGCAGAGCTTCAAATTCACTCAGATCGTTGCTTGCTATAGGTGCGGATTGAGCTTGGTCCTTGAACGGGGACTTAAATTTTTTAGAAACACTTCTCGAGTTGTGAAATGACATTTCCAAACATTAATCCCCAGGCTGTCATAACACTGCAACGCCAACCTTGACTTCTATATCACAAAAGCAAGCATTTAGGGAAACGCTTTGATAAGATCGAATATATACTGTATGTTACGTTTCCTTGAAGGTTAAGTTTTGCAATTATCGTTTAAATAGTCAGGAAGAAGGCCACAGTTCTAACATTCAGACAAAAAGAAAGCTAAAACGTTACGTTACCGGATGAGCGCAGACTCGTATTCGCGGGTTGTCTACGCGGACTCCATCTTTGTTTTGAAGCAGGCGTGCTTTCGATCTTCGAGCTATCGCACGCAGCGAGTTATCGCTTGAAGGACAGCCCGCGCGCTCTAGCGGCATGAAGTAGGACTAACAAATAGTCCTACTTCATGCTAGCGGCCGACCCAGAAGCTTCCCGCGGTCTGCCACACGGTCTGCCATTTCCCGTTTACCATGCTCTATATTTCAAATGGAAAAGCGACAGAGTGTTCCGTATACAGAATGGTCTGTCGACAAAGTGTTGTACAGACGCTGGCTCAGAAATTCTTCACACACGGCATGATTTTCGCGGTTGTAAACTAATCTGACGCGTCGCTACTCCACGTGCATACGTACCTGACGCGTGGGGTATCGACGAGAGCGTTTCTGGGGAGTGGGGCGAGGGGTTGCGGGAGGGACAGGCGTCGCGACTCTGCGTCGACGCACCGCCACGCCCCGCTCCCGCCCCGAGAGATGGCGCCACTGCCCCCGGAGCGTCGCTGGACGACGCTGAACGGGTGTACGTTCGTACGTTGCTGGCGCCTGGCGCCTCGGCTCGGCTCGGCCCCTCTGCACACGGCTCGGCTCGGCCCGGCCCCTCTGGCCGCGGCGCGCTCGGCTCGTCCGGCCCCACGCTGCCTCCAGCTCCGCGCTGCTCCGCGCTGCTCCGCGCTCCGCGGTGCGCTGCCGCAGTGCCTCGCGGGGGAGACCCTACCCTCCCTCCCTCCAGCCAGGCAGTGCCAGTAGGCTGCAGCTTGCCGGCCCGAGCCCACCGGCACCAGAAGGGCCCGTCCACCGCGCCGTCCCGGCCGCCCCGGCCGTCCCGCGAGCTTCCGCAAAGCAGCGCAGAGCTTCAGCACCTAGCCATGCCACACCGCGCGCACCACCCCACACCCCGGTGAACCAGAAACAGCGAAACCAACACGAGGGCCGACCGGTCTAACAGTGTCCCGCAGGGAAGACCGCGTCGGTTGGCGTCGGGCGCCGTGTCCGTCAAAGTGCGCGCGTGGTGGTGCATGTGTGAGTGTGTGAGTGAGTGAACCGATCATGGATTTACTTCGAGTTCTGCTGCTGCCCGCGGCTGTGCTCCTGGCCGCCACAGGTAAGGCCGGCGTTGTCAGCCCGCGTGTGTCCTTCCCTCCGAAGCTGCAGATCACCCGCCAGAAGAGGAGAGGCGGGAAAAGAGCCGAATGAAACCGCGGGAAAACGAGTAGAAGCTAATTGGCTCACCACAAGTGGAGAAGGGTTAGGGTTGGGGATGTAATCCCAGAGAGGACTTCAGGGTAGTTGAACCAACCCTCAGACACTGTCCACGGATTCCGCCAAAGAAAAATAGTAGACGAAAAATTGCCTCTTGAGTCAAACAGGTATCATCGGCCAGGCGCTTGTTTAGGATCACGCGCCGTTCCAAAGATAACACACACAATTTAAGTTTCGTCCCATTCGATTCCGAGAGATGAACAAGTCTGGTGATACATTTAATCCGACTACGCTGGAGACTGTGACGCGCGGGCAGGTCTGGACCCAAACCGACGCGACCAACGGGAAGTGTGGCTTTTCGTCTTTTATCAGTGGTGCCGAACCGTGGACTCCGCGTTTCGTGCGCCGTGGAGGTTTTCATAGGAATGACGCCATGAAAATAAAAAAAGGGTATGGAAATTGGCGCGTGGGGTATTGACTATGAGGCAATGCCAATTGTTATTCCATTTGTGGCGGTTTCATGGGCCGTTTCGCTCGGTGTAAACTGCCTCGCAGCGGGACGGGGTGTTAATGGGAGGGCGTGGCGGGGCGTGGCGGGGCGTGGCGGGGCGTGGCGGGGCGTGGCGGGGCGTGGCGGGGCGCGCCGCGATGCGCTGCGGGGCGTACAACCTGCGCGCACCGTTGCTGCAATGAAGCAGCCTGTCCCGTCAGGTGGTTTACCGAAAGGTGTCTAATCAGAGAACCGCAGCACTGTCTCGCACCGTGGCACTATCTTGTTCCGTCTTTCCCCCTAACGCTCAGCAGGAGTTGTCTTTCCCCTTACCTTCTCTGCGATGATATTCATAGAGGAGGACCGGCAAATCTCAATTTCAAGATTCGCTCTCTCTCCCTCCCCCACTCGGCCTGCGCCGCCGGCGGGGCCCTCACGCCCCGGATTCGTCCTTGTCATAGTCCATCAGCATCACGGATGGGGAGAGGGAGAGAGAGGGAGAGCCAAAGGGATGAGGAGAGAAGGGCTGCTGGAAGGGCTGCTGCTGCCGCGTCGCTAAACGAAGGGAGGGGGAGGGCGGCGCGTAGCGGCGCGTGGCTTCGGAAAAGGAGGCCTTTCAACTCCCATTCAAGCCAAACTGTTGCCAGACGACGCCAATGCGTAATGGCTCGGGGCCGCCCGTAAAGCATCGAAGCAGCCAAGCGGTGAAAGAGCAAAAGCAGCGACACACACTGGCCGAAACAAACGCGTGGCCGGCGATACCCCGCGCACGAGTGGCCCTCCGCGAGGGTAGCATGGAGAGTCTCCTCGCGCGGGGGGTAGCGCTGCGCTGCTCTTTTGTCCGAGACGCACCGCCAGCCCTTCGCCGTCTTTTGTTTTGAAAGTAGCAGCTCGTGTTGCGGACGGGCCGCGCTGGTCGGGCCCAGCTCGTCGCCGGTTGCCATGGTTTGGACGCGGAGCGGCACGTTTGCCACCCGTAACGGCCCGTGTGTGCGTGTGGTACTCTCGATATGATTGGGGGCTGCTGTTGGCTGGCCTGGCTGCCTGGCTGCCTGGCTCCGTGTCGCGACGTCACGACAGCGTGCCACCCTTCCGTCTCTCCTTGTCGTCGCTCGGCCGGCCCAAAACATTCACCGCCTGCCGCATTTATTTTCGTGAGTTTCTTTATTCATTGCGCGCGTCTGAGTTTCGCATCCCCTCGCCCTCGCCCCTCCCCCTCTCTCTCTCTACCCCCACTCCCTGCGACTCGTTTGGTTGTCTGCCCCATCCCCCAGAGTTGAGTTACACAAGCCAACACAGGAAGAAGCCAGCCTCGTTTGATCAGGCAGATTCTCATATCGACAGTCTGGGTGATGGCCCTCTGCGAATGTGTGTGTGTGTGTGTGTGTTACTGTGTATTTTATTTGCCCCTGCAGACGGGTGGTGGTGGTGGTGGTGGAGACGGGCAACCAGTTGGCGTAAGCTGCTTACCACCAGACCCCGACCCGGCCCGGCCCGCGGCCCGGCGCGCCCCGGCGCAGTGATAGACCCCGAGGGGTCGTCCTACAGCCTGTCATACCTCGCATTAAAAATATCGTGCAGCGTGCGTGCACGCAAGGGGTGGCGATCGTGACGGCGTTCGATCTGAGCGAATGCAGGGGGGGGGGGGGGGGGGTTAGTCCACGGCCTCAGTGGTCGCCCGGAGGTCCTAGCGGCCACTCGCCAGAGAGCACCGACCCCTTGGTCACGTGTGCGGGGAGTGTGTGCGCGTGTGTGTGTAGGTGTGAGTGTGAGTGTGTGTGTGTGTGTGTGTGTGTGTGTGTGTGTGTGTGTGTGTGTGCCGAGTGAACGGGGGGAAGCACAGCCGAGACCTCCCCTTGCTGAAGCAGCAGCAGCGCGCCGGTCTGGAGTCTGAAGCAGCACGAGCTGGCCGAGGCTGGGCTGGGCTGTATCGAGGAGTTTACCGACAGGCCCTCGTCCTGCTCGCCCTGCTCCGTGCCGTCCAGACGGACTGCAAACACGGAGAGATGATGTGTGCAGGGCCCGACCCCATCCCGGTGATCCATTTCGGGCGGCCCTTCGCGGAGACCCTCCCGGAGACCCTCCCGGAGGCCCTCCTGGAGGCCGCGAGCGTGCGCCTCGCCGGGGGACGAGGAACAATGACAGCAGTGCAGGCGCGCCAGGACTCGGCCGGGTCGCCCAACATGAACCGAGCCCAGACCAGTCTCGAACACGGACCTTGTTGTTGTGCCGAGCCGTTTGTCCGGGCGAGAGTGCGGTGTGCTAGTTTTGGAGGGGCCGAGTGTGTGAGCGTGTTGCCGCGGTGGAGTGGGCCGGCCGGAGTCACATTGGATTAAGTCTGTTGGCTGCGCCGCAGTCATTTGAGCACGTACTTGTTTGCGGAGGTAGGCCGTGGAACTTATTTTGGCCCTCGAGGGGCTGCCGGGGCTCGTTAGTGATGTCACGGGCACGAAAGTCGGCGCGCTGCAGGCTGATTCCGTGGTCGCTCCATCTCTCTCGCACTCAGGGGGCGTCTCGGAGCTGCGAGAGAGACAGAGCGACGAGGCAGTGTTCCAGAATCGGCGTGCCGGGCTAGGCCGGACCTGTTCTCGACGTGTGTGTGGCACACTGTGTGCCGCGGCGTGCCGGGCCTCTAATTTGTCGGACGTGCGAGTCGATAATATCGTCCCGGACAATCATTTTCTTGTCGATGGTCCGGTCCGCTAGATGTAGGCCTATCGCGCGGTGGAACGGTTTAGGCCACGAAGCCCCTCCCTTGGCGCCCCTCCCCGCCGCGCCGGTCCAGCGTCATTGTCCCGGGCCAGGCTGGGCCGCACAGTGGGCCAGAAGACCGGTGGAGGCGGCCAAAACTCTAGATGCGTTTTGAGCTCCAGAGTCGCTAAAGAGGCCTCGAAACGAACGTGTGACCCCACCAATGGATTCCTCGTTCCGAGAGCAATCCATTGGTGGGGTCACACGTTCGGTTCGGGTCCCATTTAGCGACTCTGGAGCTCAAAACGCGTCTAGTGTTTTGGCCGCCTCCACCAGTCTTCTGGCTCACTGTGGGCCACCAGGCCGCACCCTGGGTCACGACCATGCCCAACACGCTCGAATTACGTCGTCCAAATGGGGGGAGGGGGAACATTACACCATTGCCAACCCAACCCCGTCGGTTCGAAAAAATGTCAAAATTTCTTTCAGTCCACCGAGGGAAAATGTTTTTCGTTGATTGCAGCAGGCCGTGTGTTGCCGATCGGGGCCTCCACCGCGGCGGCCAGGCCTGGGCCAGGCGATCGCGGGCAACCGCGGCGCGCTCTGCTCAAATCCACCTGAATCCGGCCACCTGTTGTGTCGCGTACTCACCGCCACCCGCCGTTTGCCCAGGGAGAGAGAGGAGAGAGAGAGAGAGAGAGAGAGAGAGAGAGAGAGAGAGAGAGAGAGAGAGAGAGAGAGAGAGAGAGAGAGAGAGAGAGAGAGAGAGAGAGCGCGAAAGCCCTTGAGTGCCTGGCCGTGTTTTTAAAAGCGGTCGAACGAAAAGCACGTGTTTGAGATGCCGCGGTTTAATCCGCGATGAAAGCAGTGCGGCTAACGAACGAGCAGTGCGGTGGGATGCCTTCCGCGGAGGCGCCGTGCCGTGCCACGCCGTGCCGTGCCGTGCCGTGCCGTGCCGTGCCGTGCCGTGCCGTGCCGTGCCGTGCCGCGCCGCGCCGCGCCGCATTCCGAACGCGAGCGACTGTTTCCCCAGCGGCTGCCCCGCGCTTCCTCTTCCCGCCGCCGCTTGTGTCTCTCTGTGTCGCTCAAAGTAGATATGAAAGGAGATACTCGATCTGCGCCGTGCATAAAAGTGGAGAAAGCCCCCTCTGGATGAAGCCGATCGCGCCAGGGAGTGTGTGTGTGTGTGTGTGTGTGTGAGTATGTGCGCAGTAATGCCCTACGGTAAGTACGGAAGGGGTCATGGCACAGTCCAGACAGTTATGGTTTCTGAACTAGCACGGAAGCCGCAGAACCTTAGTTTGCTTACGTTCCACTAGGAGGTCACCTGGGTACACTCTGGGTATTCTCCGCTCAAACCGAACGCGTGACCCCACCAAGGGATTCCTCGTTCGGAGAGCAATCCGTTGGTGGGGTCACACGTGCGGTCCGAGTCCCGTTTAGCGACTCTGGAGCTCAAAACGCGTCCGCGGAATTTCGACTGCCTCCCCGGTCTTCTGGCCCACTGCGCTGCTCTGGCAGTGTACCGGTAGTGGTTTACTGAGTGGCGTCCCACGGTGGTGATAATGGATCCGAGCCGATACTCCTCCGCGGTCGCGCGGTGCCGCTGGCCCGAGCCGGGCCGTTAGATTATTATTACGGCGTCGCGGCGTCGAGGAAGACGAGAGGAGCGATGAGAAGGAAAAGGAGAGAGAGAAAGGACAGCGCATTGTTTCCCCGCC